AAGTAATTACCAAGAATTGTGACTCATAGGTCTGACTGTAAAGGTAGGAAATACATCAGAGCCAACATCAAAGTTAAGAAGCTTTATATATTTGAGGAACAATCCAAAGTTTCGTGACTTCAATGTATGGCTGAAAAGCACTACAAAATTTAAATTTGTGAAAAATAAAGCTTGCTCAGGTAATAAAAGACTGCATGAAAGCTACAATTTCCAAAGGAAACAATGACTACAATAGCAAACTTAACTATTATGCCCAGAGACTATTAATCCATAGAAAAGAAAGAAACTGATTCTTATTTGCTACGTGGTTCACATTGTCAATAAAAAAAATTAACTACGGCCTACAGGTAAAGGATTTCACATGTAAAAATAACACAACAACAGCGATAGGTTCTCAGCCGTATATCCTATACTCTGTAATTCCTTCCCAACTTATAAAATAGTAAAAAAAAAATTTACAGGTTTCAACAAATGCCATAATCAACCAACTTCTCATTAGTTTAAGGTTAGCAATCCCCTATGCACAAAGCACTCAGTATGGGTTGCGACCAGGGAAATGCCCGAATGAAAAATTAACACACACACACACACACACACATATAGATCAACAAGGTAATTTTTTTTTAAAAAGTGATTTAAACACTGCATAAGAATGTCTAAATCCTCCAGCTCTAAGGCAATTATATTTACGTTTCAGAGAAAGGTCACATGTGCAAGAACAAAACACAATCCAAGACAAACTATACCAGGATGTTTTGTAAAGAATATGAATTTATTTTGGAATTTCTCAGTAGTATCTAACAGAGAAAGTTTACAATGCTTTTGCAAAAAATAAGCATGACTGATGAGAAACTCACAAATCTATCATGGCAAGCATTCAACCTTTGAACAAAAAAAGTAGCATAAAACTATTGCAGTGCCAATTGGTAGCTTGCAGCCTGTAAGCAAGTCCAGAAATATATAAGTTTTCATAAGGGCACTATGAATGCTTAATACAAAAACTACAGCGGACCATTATTCGAATACATTGGCTAAATACAAACCTTAGCTGTAATGCCCCGAAATAATTAACATAAACCCATCTCACAACAGTACTACAATAGATCAACAATCTCATATCCTCTATTCATTTTAACTGTGGTCGTTACAAAAGATGACATATGCAATATACATTCACAAATCCTAGATTCTGAATTTATAGCATATAGCATGGATATAAGAGTAAAAGACAGATAAAACCAAATAAATAAATGCCCTAATGGCTTACAACTTTCCAAGATGATGCTTGGTTATAACAAAGTGAGTTTTAACTCAATACAAGTAAAACCCGAGGCTTAAACAAAAATAGTTTCAACAAGAAACAAAAGGGAGCCTTAAGCTCCGACTCCTCCCAAGCTATGTCCTTGACAGAGGCATATCATCAGCACCTGAAAGTTGTTTTCCACATAGGGTGAGCCAAAACCCAGTAGGAATACTCTAACACAATATATGAATCTTAGCAAAATAATGAGGTGAATGCACATGCATGCTCTTTTTCAAACATTCCTCGTTTTCTATCTCAAAACAATGCAATGCCAGATTATATATCAATTCATGAAAATAATTCTTTTTAATACAGAAAACAGGGTAGTGGATACAAAGCACTAGGAATTTCTAGGTATGTGTCTACCAGTAGGCTATACAGGCACTTCTACATTTTTATTTTTACATGCAAAAATATTAAGAAATATTAAACAAATATATCACGGTTCAGTTTGGTTCGGTTCAAAACCATAGCTAAAGCCTTAGAACTAGGAACTAGACTAATTTGAAACGGTTCCACCATTTTCGAAAATGGAACCAAAACCGAAACTAATAAAAACCTAACCGAACTAGCGGTTTGGACCGGATTGGATCGGTTTATTGGTTCTATTGATGTTTTTGAACACCCCTAGTGGCAGGAGAGGTTGGTTGTTGGTTGTTGGTTGGACCTGAAGTAACACAAACATATGAGACTTGGTTGCCATAGTAAAAGCCTTAGCTTCTTTTTATATAAGGGGTTAACACAACACAATGTTCTAACATGGGAACTTGGTTGCCAACATTTAACCTATATTGCATTTGATACGGAGGATATTCAGCATCTAACGCAAGCACCTAGCAACAAGCTGGAAAGTTATTAGCTACAAATCAAAAATAGAGAGGAATTAAACAAGATTTTTATCAATAATGTTTCTTGCTCTGACATGCCAAGTGAAATATAGACTAAAACTTAAAAGATAAAGAGAATTTTAATTAGAGAGCTTTAGAAGTGAAGTTCCCTTAATCTCTTCATTATCATTACTTACTTTCCCTTTAGCCATTCGTTGGAAAACAGAACATGGAAACCTCAAGGAGTTGGCCTAGTGGGCACTAGGGATGGCAATTTGAACCCGACCCCGATTAGAACGGTTTTTTTCCGAAAAATACTCCCGACGAGCCACAGATGGCATTTGAAAATAAATCCCTAACAATTTTTGGGCAGGGAATGGTGATACATTTTCCAACCCCAGCCCCGGCCCGTCCCTGTCCCCGTTTCCCTCCGAACTGAAATTACATATATCCCCCTATATCCATTCATATATATACCCTTCTATCCACCATCAAATAATAGAATAAAAAGCAGAGAGAGAGAGAGAGAGAGAGAGCACCGAATCAACAAGCAAAGGCGAGCGGAGAAGACTAGCAAGCCAAGGCGCGAAGAAGACCGGCAAGGCAAGGCAAGGCTCCCTCCCCTCTCTCTCTCTCTCTCTCTCTCTCTGCAACGATGCAGTCACCGTCGCCTCCTCCTCCACGCCACCACTACTGCCACGATGCCAGAGTTGCCGAACCTCCATACTCTGGCGTATGGTCCGGATTGGACCGGATTAGGGTAAAATCAGGATCAATCCGTTATCTACAGTTCCTGAAAAATTGGAACCAATCCGATCCGTTTAAATCATGGAATCAATCCGAACCAATCCATTTAAATACGGATTGGATCGGTTTAGGACCACGGATTCACATAATTAAATAACAAAAATATATATATATAACACTTTAATTTCATAAAAATATAAACATAGCACTATATTAGTTCCACAATAGCAATATGTTTTTCTATAATAGCGACATACTGTTCTAGAATTTAAACAACAATAAGAAAACTGGTTTCACCATAAATATTTAGACCATTACAAATTAAAACTAAAAACTAACAAACAAAAGTAATAAAAGAAGATATTATACGGTTTTAGGTTTGAGTTTAGATTTTATATAGATTAAGAGAAGATACTATGGGGGAGGATGTATAATAAAAATATAGACTATTTGTATACGGTCCGGATCGGTTCCAATCCGGAACCGTGGGTTCAATCCGGAACCAATCCGTAGGCTACGGATTTTTAATTTTTCAATCTGGAACCGAACCGCGGATTCAAAAAACCAATCCAAACCTATCGGATTGGACTGGACTGGACTGAATTAGATTACGAATTTCACGGATTCCTTGCTCAGCCCTACTCTGGCGTCGGTTCCCTCCGCCACGACAGATCTGAGCAGATCTCTCTCTCTCTCTCTAATCAGATCTCTCTCTCTCTGTGACACACTCAAATACACAGATGATGTTGTTGATGATGTTGTTTATGATGATGTTGTTTATGATGTTGTTGTTGATGATTTGTTGTTTTTGTATGGGGATTTTTCGAGGTCAAGAAAACCCGATCCCCGTTAGGGGGCGGGGGCAAGGGGTGATGGGTTCCCCGCCGAGGATCGGGGGCGGAGACGAAGAATTTTATACCTTCAGGAATCATGAACAGGGAGTGTAATCCTCGGCCCCACCCCGGCCTATTGCCATTTCTAGTGGGCACAACTTGAGGCTTAAGGGTGCTCCCTTTAAGTCTCAAGGCATTTGCTCTGGCTTTAAATAGGCCCCTAGCAAGTGGGCGGTGGGATTGGTCTCCAGGATTAGTCGAGGTACGCATAAGCTAACCCGGTCACTCAGTTTAAATAAAAATGGACAATGCACAAATATATGAGTTGAGAATTGAAGGAAGCACAAGGAATTATTAAATTGAAAAACCATTACAACCACAAATGTCAAAAATAAATAAGGTTTGTCCGTATTTGTGCTAGATATCCAAGCCAAAAAATAACCGGTAGAATTTGATATAGGCAGATGAAGGATAGAATGCAATGCACAAAGAGAGAGAGAGAGAGAGATTATAAATTAGAAAACAGTGTCGCATACAACATAAAGTACATACACATTTATTAAGGCTTGATTATTCCAATTTCTATCAGGACACATGAGACATCGAACATTGAACTGTAAAAATAAAGAAAAAATAAAAAAATAAAAAGATAAAAAAGAAAGAAAGAAAAAAGCTCTAGTCTATTCAAGCCAAATGAAACATCAAAGAACATGAAAGGGCACCAATGAATCAGAGCACATTAAAGTATTAAACCACCTCAAAGTTCATAGGAGGAAAATTCTTCAATATGCATTCATTAGAAATCGCCAACCACTTAGTTTAATGTTCTACATTTTAACATTGAAAATTATAGGCCTTGTTTGGTTTGTTTTTTAGAAAAATTTTTGGGAAAAATTCTCTACAAACAAATTTTTAAGAGTAATCAAACCAAACAAATTTTTCCAAATAAAATCTTAAAATTTTGTTTGCTTACCTACTTTTCAAAATCACTCTCTCTCTCATACACATCAAATCAATCACTTTTTTTAAAACTCTCTCCCCAAAATAATTTTCCAAAACCATTTCTGAAAAAAAGGCAAACCAAACAAGTTTTCATACTTTTTATCTCAAAAACTACTCTACAAACACAAACCAAACACACCCGTAAAGTTTGTAAAGCCATTACACAGTACAGTTTTGGCTTTTGTTTTAAACAAGACAAGTAAGATCAGATAACTGTTACAAACAAGATAATCCAGAGAGCCCAAAGTAACAAGAAAAGATATTTTAGCAAATAAGCACCTGTTTCCCTCAGTTTCGTCCATTCAACTGTGGACACCCATTAATGTGCACTTTTGCGCTGAGGTGGTGCACTCCTTCTGGTAAATATGACAAATTAGGGCAATCATCGATGTAGAGCCTTAGAAGCGACGTGAAGGTTTGCAGCCACTCTGGCAATGCTGTCAAACTTGGACAATTAGCTATACGTAAATACTGGAGATTACTTGCAGCTGTCTCTTTAAGTCCTTCGGGAAGAGTAATTAACTTTGGGAGGCCCATTAGAAGTAGAGATTGTAGGCTGGTTAGGCCTTCCATGCCTTCCCCTTCCAACAAAGTAAGCTCTTGACAATCCCAAATCCACAACTTCTCTAGAGCAGTCAGATATTTGATACTGCTCGGAAGAGAGGCTAATCTTGGGCATTCATAAATACGCAGTACTCGTAGAGCAGTGAGGTGATGCATTCCTTCTGGCAGTAATGTTAGGCAGTCACATTTGTAAAGCAACAAACATTGAAGAGAATTGAGGCCTTGGAGACATTTATCTGGTAAAAACCTCTGTTTTGAAGTTAAATATAAGGTTTTGAGGTTAACCAACTTCCCACTGTCTCTGGGCAAACCTTGAAGTTGCTCACAGTTAATGAGATTCAAAGTCTGCAGATTCACAAGCCCACATAATGAACTTGGAAGAGCTCTAATGTTACAGTTGCGGCTAAGGTTAAGATACCTCAACTGTTTTAACTTGCCGATGGAACTTGGCAACTCCTCAAGCTCTAGTGAAATCAGTACTAACACACGCATGTGCCTAAAATTCAATGTAATGGTCTCAACAAAGGATTTTCCAATATATCCAGCTTTAAATGAATAAGAAAAGGACCGCATATTTCTTGCTTTAAGTAAAAATTCAGGAAGTTCTTTCCCTGAAAAATCTTCTTCTTGAAACAATACATGCCGGACTCTTTCAGTTATGGCTTTGGTATGAAACTTCACATATGAGAACTCTGTACCTGCCACTGACTGCGCTAGCTCATGTACAAGATTATGAATTTTACATGCCAATATTTCACCATCAAATGCTTCTACTACATCTTGAAAGCAAAACCTTGATAATAACTCATTGAAATATTGATTCCCAATATCTTCCAATTGCCTATTTCCCTTGGGCGACTCAATGAACCCCTGTGCAATCCATATATTTATAAATTCCTCCCTTGGTATTTCGTTACCTTTCGGAAAAATTGAGCAATAAGTGAAGCATTGCTTTAAATAGGATGGCATTTGGTCATAGCTCAAACGCAATATAGGCAAAATATCATTCTCTTTTTGCTCCATCTCCCATATATCATTATCCCTTATGCGCAACCAATCACGCTCCTCATTCTTCATATATAACAAGTTCCCTAACGTTTTGACAGCCAAAGGAACTCCACTACACTTCTTCACAATTTCCCTCCCTATTTCCACAAGATTAGGGTGACAATTTCCCTCTCCCCTAAATGGACATTTCAAAAACAACGAGAAACAATCATCATCAGAAAGACCCCTCAAATTGTAGGTGGAATTCACCGTGCCTGTAATTGTTGCAACAGTTTTACTACGCGTAGTTACGACAATTTTACTTCCACTAGTACCATTAATTAGCAAATCTCTCAATTCCATCCACTTATTACAATCATCATTCCATACGTCATCCAAGACAAGTAAATATTTTTGGGCATCTAAAACATCTCGCAAGCGAGCTTGCATCTGGTCCATATCTAGATGGCCAAAGCTCTCCCCGGTTGCGGATCTGACAACTTTCTCTATGATCTGCTTGAGATTGAAATCTTCCGAAACACACACCCACATTCTTAAATCAAAGTTCTTCACAACCCTATCATCATTATACACCAATTTAACAAGAGTAGTCTTTCCAAGGCCCCCAAGTCCAACAATAGGAATGACCGAAACATTGTCGTGATTATCAGTAGAGCTCAGCAGGAGCTCTACAATAACCCCTTTATCATTTTCTCTTCCAATAATATCCGATGCTCTCAAAAATGAATGACTTTGTTCCCTCACTTTGTTTGCAATTAGGGTCGATCCAACTTGTTCTATAAAGTGAAAAATTCTCTTATTAGAGGCAATCTCATCTAATCTCTCGCTAATTTGCTTCACTTCATAACCTATCTTCAATCGAAATGCAATCAAATTCGAGCACGAGAAAAAGATCAATACCTTTTGAAGAAGATTGGTTTGGAACTTCAATTTTCGGAGTAAGAGGTGAGTTGAAAGATCATCGAGCAAGTCATCGACATCGCAGACAACATCTTGAAGCTTTTCGAGCCAGTCTCTGACTTCATTGTTGGTCGCTTGTTGCTCATTCGCATCGAGAAGTACAGCTCTGATAGTGGAGAGGGTGTTCTCGAGTTTCTTCAGCTCGGTTTTGGTGTCCCAAGAAAGAGTGAGCTGATCAAGAGCAAGGGAGCTTAGTTTAGAGAGAACTAGGCCTGTGATGTTGAAGAGCAGTGTTTCCGCCATTGGAGAGTAGAGAGAGAGAGAGAGTCCAAAGTGGCGAGAGAGTAAGGGCCTTTTCCCAAACTATGCTAAAATAGCAACCCCATTTCCCAAACTAGGTTTAGTTTGGGCGGAAATTTCAAATCAAACGTGATTGTGAACCACCTTTTCCTCTTTCTTTAATTTTTGTGCGGAAAACTTGTAAAATTATAAAAGCGTATTGTGAAATTATATTTTTAATTAGGAAGTCGTGGTTATAAATCACGTTTTTAAATTATTTATATAACGTGATTTTAAATTATATTTTTAAGGTGTCGTTTCGAATGCCTATTTTTAAGTCTAAGTGTTCAAAAAATACAAGTTCGAGCTTAATTTTGAAACTAGGTCTCTCAAGCTTGTTTTGTGAGTTTCTATAAGTTACTATTGTCCTTACTAAAGTGTTTGAACCAATTCTTGGGTATTTCTATGGCTAATTCACAATTTTTCCCTCCAGATGCTAATTTTCAATACTAAGTGTTAAAAAAAGATGCAAATTTGAGTTTAATTTAAAATGGGGAATCCTGTGATTGTTCCGTGAGTTTCCACATTTTAATCCTTACTAAGTTGTTTGTACTGATTCCTGGGTATTTCTGTGGCTATTTTATGATTTTGCCCTTCAAATGCCTATTTTCAAGCATAAATGCTCAAAAAAACGTGTGAGATTAATTTGAAAGCTGGGAGTCTCATGATTGTTCCATGAGTTACAACAAGCTACTTTTACGGTTATTAAGGTGTTCAGACTTATTTCTAGGCATTTTGTGGCAATTTCTTGATTTTTCCTTCTAAATGCCAATTTCTAAGTCTGAGTGGTTAACAAATATAAGTTTTAGCTTAATTTTAAAATGGGAATCTTGTATTGTTCTATGAGTTTGTACAAGTTAGTTTATCTTCACTAAGGTTTTCATATTGATTCATGACCATTTTTGTGGATGTTGTATGATTTTCCTCTCTAAACACTTACTTTCAAGACTAAGTGTTCAAAAAATACAAGTTTGGGCTTAATTTTAAAACTAAGAGCCATGTGCTTACTTCATGACTTTCTACAAGTTACTTTTATCCTTCCTATTGATTCCCAAGTATTTCCATGGCTATTTCACAATTATGCCCTTAAAACGCCTATTTTCAAGCTTAAGGTGTTATGTTTTCCAATGCTTTTAGACCCTAAACCCTGTTGCCTCTGTGTTAGAGTCAAGCTAAAAGCACCAAACAATACTTAAGATCTAAACCAACAACATCAAACCTGCTATATAAGCACCACAAATGAGCACAAAAAGACAGCAACCAAACTGACTTATTTAATTGTAGGTTGTTGACACATGTTATTCGAGTTAAATAAAATACATCAGTCTAATTAGGAATTAAATTTACCTGTATTTCAACGTATTAAATTTAAACTACGTTGGTAGAATTCACTGCAGCTATTTCAACTGATATTCCAAAAATAATCTAAAACATTGTGCAGTCCAGTGCCACCTCTAAAAATGCACTATATAAATTGGGTTTGCAGCAACAAATATATGAAAGAACACATATCATAAAAAATGGAAATAGAAAAAGATAAAAGAGCTGTTAAAAAATCTTGAGTTGTTTGTTCCCTTCATCATTTGGAGTTGCTTGGTGAAGAGACCAATAAGAGCAGTTGAATAAAAAATAGCTTTATATTTTTGAGGTTCTACATTATTAACCATTGGAAGTTATTGTAGAAGACAATTACAAACATGTAAAGTTTACAGGCACATCTACATAATGTTAATTTTAGAGCTCAATTCAAATCCCAAACAAGTGAGAACCATTTACTTGTGCATCAGAAAGTGCAAGACCAATAATGTCATTTCGAGTAATTGAGGTGGCAGGCATTGGAACAGATTTTTCTAGCATATGAAGCAACAAAAGCCAGATTTGATAATTGTAGAGTTGATTCTATAATCTTGACAATACATGCAAGTGTACTATCAATCTGCATTTTTATAGACACGTGTAATTTCATAAATAAAATTCAGGACAAAAGAACAAGAAAGATTGACAAATATTGTTAGAGACATAGATTGGTTACATCGATTTGACACCAGAAGTTTGCATCTAGCTTGTAATATTTTGAAGTCTAAGAAACATACCAGTGAATCAATGATAAAGTTTGTCTTTTCCACAAAATGCTAACACTTTCTATCTTCATTGCATACTCTTTCACACTATCAACTTGTTCATTTACTGACATCAAGTCTTGCTTGGCATGGTGGCACTTTTCTATCTTATTGAATTACAGGCAAACTCATAATCATTATTTCCTTGCTTCCCTAGGTCGTCACTTTTTTAAGAACTTCCCACATAAAAAATGCAACTCCCCTAGTTTTCTAGGTTATTTATTTTTTGATACTGCTCCAGCTACCCAACAAATACTGAAGGCAAAAGATGAACATGGAGCAAGTGCAATGGGCATGCAATTTGTGAATGAACCCAGATGGAAAAAAAATTGATCGAGAAAAGTTCAAAAACATTTTGTGACTCATTTAAGCTGAGTCTGGATGTTTCTCATGTCAAACAGAATTGCGAAGTTGTCACAAAGTTCATTTGTTAAAACAATGCATGTAGAACCAACTGTTTACTATTACATCTCTATGCATATGCATGAAAAGAATGTACTCTACTGAATCTAAAGGCTCCTTGCATGCTAAAGGCAGGACAAACATAAATTTTTTTGTAAAAGAACTTACCCACATGGGAGTTAAATACAACGATAGCTCATCAAAAAAGGGCAAGAAAGAGGCCTTGAAAGTTTTGATCAAAGTGCCCAAGCAATCACCAACTTGGATCATATAATGACATATGATGTAAAACCAGATAACACTAGTATGTATTTACATAACAAACAAAGTAGTCAAAGTGTAAAGGGTAAATGTCTCCAGTAGATATGCTCCAATAGCATACTTGATTAAAAAGTTCCTCTTCTTGTTCATTTTCCCATGTTTTACCATGTTTAAGGTTTGATTTGTGTTGTTTTGGTCATACATGCATTGCTTTGTATAGTTATGGTTCATTCTAGCTCATTAGCCTTGAGTTTCCAAGCCACTAGCATGCATTGCTTGGGCTATTCACATGATTTGGCATCATTTTTTATGTGATTTCAGAGCATGTTTCATTGACATGCCCTCACATTTGTCACTATTTCCATGCTTTGAGGAGTTGGTTCTTTATGCCTTAAGAATGAGCCATTGCGTATGCCATTTTGCCTAAGCTTGTAAGCTGCCATATCAGTGTGTATTTGGTCTCATTTTGCCATGATATAACTCTGATTTTTGTTGTTAAAGTCACCTCATGCTTGGTTTTGATAGGTGTAGTGTAATACTCCTTATTAGCCTTGCAAGTTCATGCTTCATGCCCTTCATGTTAGCTTGTTTTGGTGATGCTCCATGCCTGTTTTAGACTCATTTGGCATGATCTAGGACTATTTTGGGTTTCCTTGGCTATATGTTTCATGTATTGCATAGCTATGGTGTAAGTCCTTTGGCTAGCTTTGAGCCCACTAGCATCATTTGTTATTTGTGCATGATTTAGCCTCATTTGGAATGTGATTTTAGAGCATGCTTCATTGCCACACTCTCATATTTGTCACTTCTTCATCGTGTTTGAGGGTTGTGTTCCTGTGCCTAGTTGAGGAGCCATTACATGAGCATGTGTCCTTGGCCCCCTTTTGTGCCTAAATTTTGGTATGTTGGCCACTGTTTTGGACCCTCTTAGGTCTGTCCATATACGGTTTGGTCCATTGAATATTGCATTACATAGTCCTTACCATTGCATGTTTGTTTGCATATTATTGCATGACATTGTTATTTGCATGTTGTTGCATTTTCATGATGCTTAGCATGTTAATTAGATAGCATGTTGTTGCATGCTTGTTCAATTGTATTGTTGTTGCATGCTTGTTACATTACATGTTGTCGCATGCTTGTCACATTGCATGATTTTTGCATGCTTGTTGCATTGCATTATGTGTGCATGCCTTGCATTGCATTGTGTTTGGATAGGGTGTTAGTCCAAACATGAGGAATGAGGGACGTTTCATACTTGAAGTGATGAAAGGTGCCTCATTTCTCGGTCGCCGACCCTCTTGATCAAGCATGATAGAGGTTAAGGCATTTTTGTGTCTTTTGTGCATTCATGTGATATTGATTTGTGCAACTCGGCCTCTTTGGCCATCTTGCATTGAAATGCGTGATTGATGGCTCGAGAGCCAAGCACTACACTCCTTTGAGCTTTAAACATGATAAGGAGTGTGGTTGTACACACATTTTCTTGCAAATACACTGCCATGTCTCTGTTAGTGCTCTGTTGCAGCAAAAAGAGAAGTTTGCAGGAAGAAGTGGCCGATCGGCTATCAAGTGTGCCGATCGGCTATCAATAATTGGCCGATAACATCGAATTTGGCCGATGACCGTTATTCTTTGGCCGATGGCCACACATTTTGGCCGACTACCCCTTAGATGGTTCCTAAGGTAGGTCAAAAGCATCATGGAAGTTGGCACAATTTTCAGAGGTGCAGAAGTGTGCAAACAGAGGCAACATGAGGCATGGTAACGGATTTCCGAGCGAAGCGATCGAGCATGCATCTTCGAACTCTTAGAACTGAGCTGAGGCTTTGTAATTTGTAATTAGCTTTACTTGATTAGTTAGCTTTTGAACTTGTAATTAAACTAGCTAATTTGTTAATTAGTTAATGTGTTGTAATAATTAGCTTAGTGTTAGCTAGTTAGCATGACCTTCCCCTCTCGTACCTAAGTTCCCGGGCTGAGGCAACTTTGGTGATGACAGACATGTGGTCTTCGGCACAAGTCAGGGTTTCCTAAATTTTCCAAAGTAAAAACATTTAGGTGGCGACTCTGTATCTGAAAAAGTAGTCCATGTTTGACACTTCTTTATTAAAAATCAGTTTTCCAAAATGATTTGCCGGATTTGAACTCTTTGGTGATTTATCAGTCTTGCATTGCACT